GTGTCATCTAATTTACCTCTGTTGACATTTGGTACATGCAGCTGATCCAGAAACTCCAATTCTGTTGATTGCCGGTTTGCGTCCAAACCATTCCTCAAACGGAGATTTTCCTGTAGTCTTACTTGGTGCATTTCAATTGAGAACGTAGACAGTGCTTCTGCCCATAGAAACTATGGTAGGCCTGAATCCTTGATCATAGTGCGAACTGCATTCATTATCATATGATTCTCTTTTTCAACCAATCCGTTATGTTCTGGTGTATATGGCATAGTGATTCGCAGCTTGATGCCTGCATCATCAGTCAGTTTCACCAATTTATCATTGCCAAATTCACGACCACCGTCATCTGAGACCAGTTCTTTTACATTTATACCATCTTTTGTTGGTCTGAAGTAAGAAACTGCTTGATTTTATCCCACAGTCTCATCTTTATGTCTCAGAAATTCTACATGTCGAAACTTAAAGTAATCGTCCTTAATCACTAACATGTACTTCTTTCCACCTCTTGATAAGACTGGCGATTTGAGTAAGTCTGCATGTATTATCTCACCAGACTTTTGTGTTTTGAATCGTTTTGGTTTAAATGTTCGGTGACTTTGTTTACCATATGCACATGGCTCATAAAATGGTCCATCGTCAATAAAACCTATACCATTTTGGCGCAAGTTTTGTTTTCCTTGATGCCAAAGTGATAATGGCAATTTTGTCATCGTCTTCATTGCCGTCTTAGGAAAAGGAATTGTCATTTCGTTGTCAATTAAGTAGGCTGTGGCAGCAGAACCCCCTTGTGGCTTGACTGGTTTTGCACATAATTCAAAGAGTCCATTAAAGTATATTATCTGGGGTCTCCTTGCGAAAGAAACGATAAATCATATCATTTGAATCACCAAAGTTCGAGATTTCTCGCTTCATTACCTTTGAGGCTGATAACAAATTTTTGCCAATTTCTGGTACGTACAGTACATCAGTGAGCTCAATATATTTTTGTACGTTTCCAACCATCGCGTACATATCGGTGTCCCCACAGCCATATGCTGGTATTGTCTGTTTGTTACTGACTGTGATTTCTGCTTGTTTGTTAAAGTGACGGTACGTCTTGAAATACTCGATTAAATTTGTAATGCGTGCTGTAGCTCCATCGTCTTTAAGCCACACATTTTGGCCACAATCATCTTCTTGACAAGCAAATGCACTGCATTGAGTATTTGCAATGTTTTGCCATTCATCGTGGTTGGCTTGTCAGGGAAAACTGGGCAAAATTTACCAATGTGTCCGGGTTTATTACAACGAAAACAGATGCCATTGAAACTTTTCACATCATCACTGGTCTTACTCAGCATGTTCATTGTTTTGTTCCATTTCTTTCCGCTATGTTTTGTGCTATAATTAGCATTTGCTACAAATGTTATCGTATTTTCGTTTCTAACCTCTTGATTTCTTCTTTGCAGCCGCATGTTGATCTGTTCGATCAGGTGACTTTTCCGTCTTTGGCATTGAGTCCCACTGTGATTTGAACTTGATATATTCGTCATCAGGAAAAATAGATAAGATTCGCGGTGCTAGCAAGTTCTGTGGCAACTTTCCTTCGTCGCTCAACTCTTGCTTTCGTTGAAGATCCACCCACAGTGTACATAAACGTGCGAGTGATTGCATTACACTTTTGCCTTTCTCAATCCAAAAAGTGAAAAACTGTTGCAGAAGATTGTCCAATTTCATGCTTGACACTTTCTCAAAATTACTAATTAACACATTCAGTGATACATCTGTGCGAATGATCACAGCAGCTTTCACATATGCTTTTGTGGCTCCGTTGTACTTGCGTATCGTTTTTTCATTCGCGCTTTCTGCCGGAGCTTTTGGCATGATAAGGGAATTATCGAAGATGCCTGCACAATTGTTGAGCACAAATAAATAGTTTATTTCAAATTTCCAATCAGTCCAGTTGGATAAACCTTCCAATTTGGTACACTGAACAAAATTTTTTTCCATATTACGTCGTCATTAACCAGGAAATATGCAGCAAAAATAAAAGGCTATTGGTACACTGTACTGTCTACCTACACACTGTTCAGGTGGAAATGTTGAAATCGAAAACGAAAGTAAAAACAATCCTTGATTCAAATATGCCAACATAGCCATTTTTAATTTATTTTGCACAGTTAAACGTCGCTAAATCCCATAACCTGTTACAAAGAAGTAAGAAAAAGTAAAGAGTACTTAGTCTTATCGTTTACATGACAACTTTTAGAATGACGAAAATAAAAAGTGATGCCATATACATAAAACATAAGAAAACAATAAACAGTGATGCCACTGAAACTGCACTTAATATCAATTAAATGCTCGATTCTCAACAGGCACATATCGCCCAAGTTGCCGAATGCGATTATTGGAAGTTTGCCAGGTGCCGTTATCTGAGTATTTTCCAGAAATTTATGCACTAGACACTTTGTCTAGACACTTGAAAGTACTAGACACTTTGTCTAGACACTTGAAAGCACTAGACACTTTGTCCTCAGAAACATGACCTTTTGCAAAAGATGTTGGTCCTGCTGTTTCGTTTAGAACATTATAAGCAGGTGAATTTTGGGAATTTATTTCATTTCATATAGTGTTATCAGGAGCGGAATTGTAAACACAGTTTTGCAAATACCCTGATCCTTTTTTGCCCATTTATTTCAGCTGAGTTCTTCTTTGTTTACTTCGCTGTCCTTGGATTCATTAATAGTTTGTGTCTGGAATTCATCTTCAGTTTCTACAGAAAAATTATCAATTTCACCTCCATCAGACTCATTTTCAGATAGCTCCTGCAACTTTTTTAAAATTTCTTCATCCGTAAGACCTCTTTTCTGCTTATTAGACATATTTTGTAAAAGTTGAAAAACGTAGAAATATATCAGACAACGATAGGGAATATGTTTTAGCATATGATTCTCACAGCGTAAAGGAAAGGTGATAATGAACTCGATGGCAGAATTCATATGTACTGAAATACTGATTTGGGATTAGCAAGAAAACATCTGTCCTAACTGTTATTACCTGCAGTAAGTAAGCTGAACTAACAAACGGGAAAATAAATCTGTAAAATAAACTATTTCTGAAAAGAAATGTAAGCATGAAAAACCCTGCATCTACCTTCCTTCCATATTTTCTTCAAACGAATAGATAATTGCAAACAAAGGAACAACGACTTATGTAGACATTACAAAATATTGAAACCAGCCAGGTTTTTGTCCCTCTGGGAGATAGTATGAATGCAATCGAAAAATCATCAGTGAATGTTTTCAATGGGTTATTTGACAATGCCTCGAGCAAAAAGAGGGATAAAAGTAAAGGGGTTAAAATGACCCCTGTCCGCCGTTCTAGGAATACATGCCAATATTTCAAAAACTAACAAACCTAGAATGCTGAAAATTGTTTTACAAGTATTTGTTATCTAGTTAAGTCAATTCTTCCAATAAAACAAAAGTAACCAACAGTCAAAAGTTTTCAGGGGTCAAAATGACCCCTATTGCCATTCTAGTGTTAAAAACTGATTCAGTTTAGTGAGAAAACAATTCTGATCTAATCTAATCAATTCTTAAAAAAGCAGTTTTGCCCATCTCTGGTATATGTAGGATTCCCTACCAATGTGACTTAATTTGCAGTAGTCAAACTAAGAAAGCTTTAAAATTTCACACTAAGGAATATGAGGAACATGTTGAGGGGAGGAATTAAATCTCCTATTGGTCAAATAATTATATTTTCCATTTCTCTGCAGCCAGAATTATTGAAAAAACATCTTCCATTTGCGAATTTGATTTTCTAGAGGCATTCCACATTTAAAAAAAAAAAAAAAAAAAAAAAAAAAAAAAAACCACTTCTACTTAGCGATCTGTATTTTAATCAATCTTCTTCAGTTGTTTTCATTCCTTATCAGTAGTCATCATCTCCTAAACACAGGTTTCTGTTTCATCATGTGTGCTTCTGCAGCTGAAAAAGAAGATTCTGTATTTAAACCTTCAAAACTAGTCACACAAATTTATGAATATTATTCTTATTCCTCCAATAATATTGCACATCCAATAATAATGCTGAAATTATTTGCTTTTTATTTGAGTTAATTACATTATCTAATAAAAAGTAATGGAGATCAAATGCCAGATATCCTCATAAGCAAGTATATTTTTGTTTTTGTGAGTATTTAAAGTTCTCTTAAGAAAATTGTATTTTTAGAAACAGTTTATACTTTTGTTTGAAATAAAATGAAATTGATTTGATTCACATTTTACACTTTTATCCTGTACTTTTTAGTTTAAATATTATTTCTTGAGAAGAAAATGAAGATCTAGCATCTTTAAAATGTTGTATTTGCTATAATGTTCATTAATTTTCCCCCTTTGCCTTTTGGAGGCTCCCTTCAAAAAATCAAATATAATGAACGTACTTTTTTAGAAGTTTTCAGTTTTATATCACTTCTCTTTTCACAAGAGTGCAGAGATTAAACTAAGTTCATCTATATAAATGTTCTAGCAAAATATATATATCTGTAAACAAACATGAAAAATTTTTGTTATGTACCTGTATCATGATGGAAAAAAATCAGTTTATGAAGCTAGCTGTTATAAATGCAAACTAATAATATAAGTTTTTGTATTAAGCAACATTAAGTGATGTTTGTCAATAACTTTCTCAATATTCTGAAGCTTGTATATAAAATTTTCAGATATGAGAAAAATATTGGTTCAGATTTGTTTTTAAAGGAAATAAGCTAATTATATCAAAATTGTGTTCATTGTCAATATGTATTTCCTAACTTAAAATCTTGGATACATTTTAAAGTAAATATTTATCTTATTTGTTGGCAAAATTCTGATTTCAAATTGTCTTCCTTTGCCAAATAGCTTTTTTCATTTATTGTGAATGAATTAATGTTTAATATTAGCTGTGTAGATAAAAACAACCTTCTTAAGTTTTAGTTTTTGTAAATAGTTGCTTTTATTAATATTGTTACTATTTAGGTTTTGGAATTAGCAGGAAATGCAAGTAAAGATTTAAAGGTGAAAAGAATTACCCCTCGTCATCTTCAACTAGCTATACGTGGAGACGAGGAGCTCGATTCACTTATAAAAGCCACAATAGCTGGTGGTGGTGTCATTCCTCACATCCATAAATCTCTCATTGGAAAGAAGGGCACTGCACCTAAAACACCATGAATTTATCAGAAGAATATCATCTTTAGGTTCTATATCAGTGTTGCCCATGAACTATTTTTTGATAAATATACCTTGTTTTCTATTTCAAGTCAATATGATAAATGAGACATTGTATTTACATTTTCTGTAAAAGTGAATATTTTGGATTCTCCTTGTTGAAATTCTTAATATTGCTACAATAAATTCTACTTAAAAGTATACTTTAAGAATTATATTAAATTCAAGTTTCACATATTTTTAATTTAATGGTACATTTAGACTGAAATATATTTGGGTAAACCTCTAAATTTGCCAAAAAAGGTATTAAAAAGTTATTTTCTCGATCATGACACAAAAGTGCTCTTTCTATTTTGTACCTGGACTCTTTCTTCATCAGAAAAAGTGAATACATTTTAACAGATGGTAGTTGTGTACTGGTTTTGAAGTTGAATTATCTTAACAATATATAGTGTGGTGTTTGTTTAACATATGTTGATTTTCTTATGACTCATGCGGTACATAACAGTTAACAAAATGAGCTTGGAAAGGTCTTGAAGGATGTCACGTAGTGTATCAAATCAATTATGCCGAAGCTTCTTCATTAAGAAATAATAACAGCATGTGTATGAATCCCCATAGGTGCATGAATTAACACTGTTCAAACAACTTCTCACCATTGTGTTGCGTGTCTGTTCACTAATAGCACCACTCTAGCATCTTAAGCATTCTAAGAAACTGCAGAATATATTAAACCTAAATTAATCTATGATATAATGATTATATTAATCTGTAATTAAGTTCAATACTTGCACACAATAAAGAATTTTTGTTCGTTAAAGTGCGTATACATTTTCCTGATGGATCCTGTAATTTGGACGCATTTCAAGATGCACTTATTTGGAAGCACAGTAGAATTCCAGAAATCCGCAAAGCTTGGGACCGCAGGTTGGGCGGATTTCAGGACAGAAACGATAAAGCATAATATTTGGACTAAAAGTGCAAAATGAATAATGCGTATTAGATACATTTAGTTAAATTATTTTATACATTATTGCAATTATTTATTATATGCATTACATTATTAATTCATATATAAATTGATTATATTATTCATTGCATTATATGTACATAGCATTGAGGCTTGCCGATTTCGCCTCATGCAAAGATTTCCGGTTTGGGGATTCCAGTGTTAGAATCACTGTTGCTGTAAAATTTCAACAGCCTTTCTTTATTTTTCCGTATATCATACACAATTGTGTTGCAATTCCATACCATTCTGCTATAAATCGAGGAGTAGCACCTGCTTCCAACTTTTGCAGAATTTGCACTTTTTGGGTTGCCGTCGATGCAACGTGTTTATGTTTATCAACGTTCCAAGCAGTAAAATCACGAGTGCGTCTCTTATCTGTCATTGTAATAAAAAGGGCTGAAATTAAAAATATTCTTAATTTATCCACAAAATATCCGGATAAAAAAAAGGCAGCACTAAACAATCTCGTGAAATGAAATAACAAAGCTCAGGAAATACAACATGAATCATGAACTTGAACAAAGAGTTGAGTGAATCATCTGCTTTTTTACCTTGATGCAGATTAGAGAGAACAAAACTTATCTTATTTTTTTTAACGTTTTTATATCAATAATCGTTTTGACTCATTATTATTCGGTAATTATGACATCATTATTCGGTAAGTATTTTTTCTTCGATATTTCATACTCAATGTTGCGGTTTCCAGAACCTATAAACTGAATGTTTATATTCTGAGAGGCAACGCGGATTTTTGGTATTTGACTGTATCAGTAAAAGTATTTTTGACATGTATATAGCTTGGTTGGTTGGAGGTTCACAATATTTGAGGTGAAGCTTGAATTCCAGTTTTACATATTTTAATATTGTAGAAACTCCTAATTAGGGCATTATGGGATAGAATTTTATCAGACAGGAATAGAGTATATTGAGAGTATATTATATAAACCTATTGAAAGCTGAAAAATAATTAATGTCAGTATGTTTTGTTTAATCTTTTTTCTGTTGTGTTGAATTTGATATTTTATTTTAATATATTGAAGCAATGAAATTTTCTTAAATTTTGTTATTGAAAATGATGGTCATTATTTAAGTGGACATTAAGTTTTAATAATATCTTCTACATCATACAGTTGATTTTATTTGTATTTTTTACCTGAAGGCTAGTTTGTAAGCTTTGTGAAGAAGTTAATGAATCTTCTACTACTAAATTATAGAATATTTCTGATTAAAAAAAGGACCTGTAAAGACTTAAGTGCTACTTATTGATATTTTACTGAGCAAGTGAAGAGAAAAAGAGCGGTGTAGGTGAAAAGAAAAAGATTTTGAGTTTTCAGAAATTAAATTTCTTATTTCTTTTTAATACATAGCTGGAATTTTTTTTTTTTTCAGAATATATAAATATCTTAAAAGTAACATAAAGCTAGGAAATAATACAATATTTAGATATTTCAAATATGTATTTTCTACCATATATTCTTTGAATGATCATTAAAAATAGCACATGATCATTAAATCTGGTGTTCTGTTGAACAAAATATCCTTTCTGCATTGTTAAAAAATGGAATATACACTGCCTGACAGAGAAAGTGTCACTCTACAGGTATGTGAATACAAATTGCTTGTAAAGTAATTAAAATTTATGGCCAACTATATAAAACTGCACACATGAAACAACCAGCATGCAAAAACATCATTCAAGATATCTTCACAGTTAACAGAAATAATATTTCTGCTGTTGCCATATCTGGAGAATTCACAAGTGTTGATGCTTTTATGGTGCTTTTGTAAAATATTTCCTTCTTCCTTGGCATGTGTTTTCGTGGTGGTATTGGAAAGCACGTCTGGCTGGCAGCTAGAAGGTCTGCAGTTTGAATCCTAGCAAGGGCATTGCACATTTTTTTTTATTTCCTGCTTTGATAAACCTAATGACTTTATAAACTATTTCATCAAACTGATATGGGTATAAATGATTTTAGTAAGTTTTTATATTGCCAATTGGACCTTGTGACATATTTCAAAGGAAAAAATATAACATATTGTAACAATCGATCACATTTTAAGACTACGATCTTCTGTGATGAATGTCATGTCGCGCACACCCACAATCCATAACTGGCAGTATTTTATGAAGTGTACGGAAATTTTTAAGTACTCCTTTATCAACATGGTCAACCTAACACAGATTTGTGGCACGTATGTTGAGTAGCCATTTGTTGTGAAGGCTATCCTCGACAGGAAGCTGGTCATCATTGCTTAGAATGGTCAGGGTTCGTACGGTCCTTAAAAGTCTTTAGGTTTTTTTTGGAATCGATTTTTGGCCCTTAAAAGTCCTTAATTTCAACAAAAATCAGCAAAAGGTCCTTAATTTTAATCATCTGAAATTTGTCTGTTTATATCACTGCCATTTTGAGTGTGTATTAGCATTTTGGAGGAATATTTTTGGCTACTCACTGATAAATATGGTTATCTTTTGAATGGGTTCATAGGTCCTATTTCTAATATAAATGGTGGAATGCTTGAGTTTTGGGGTCAAGAAGTGAAACATAAGCATTTCGAAATTATTTCATTTTTTCTAATAAATAACTGTTAAAGAACTTTTTGCTTTTGGGGATGTGAATTCTTTTATTAAACAGTTCTAAATTTGGAGACTTATCAACATTTTGGCAATTTTAAGATCAGTTTCTATAGAAAGTTTTAATTTTGAGATCTGGGAATTTTGAAACATTATAACATTGAAAAATCATTAAAATAGTGATAATATATTGTGTAAATCCTAGTATACAGTGCCGCCTTGGTGCGATTTTAAAAATTGTCACCAACACAAAATGATTCGTTTACTGCTCATGTTGTTGCCAAATCCCACCTGTACTGTATACTAGAATTAAATCATATATTGTAATTATATTTAAGAAATAACATTAAAATAAAACATTTTTATTCTTCACTGTTATATTATACAAAGTGACATTACTTTCCATTTTGGTTACTTGTTTATTAAGATTCAAAATATTATATAATTGTGCTAAGAATAAATGCTATGAAGCACATTTTACAAAGTAATTCTTAGCAAATTCAAAATATCTATATAATTAATAAAAATAATTTTTCATAAAAGCGTTTTTTCTATGTAATTGTCGGAATATTAAGAATTTGCATCCATTTTTCTCTGTAAAATTAATTTTACCCTTCCCACCCAAATAAATATATCTGGCTTTTTGCTGTTACAGAATTGATATGGGTAATTTTTCTTTAGGATTTTAGACATTGCAACTTGAAAAGTTTAGAAGGATTTGATGGCAAGTTTTCTAAATCCACTATTCTAGAAGATTCCTGAAAAGTATGACAAAATGAAAAATGTCTTCATGATATTAACACGTAATGGATGCATTTTACAGAAAGTTTGTGATGAATTTCTCACTCTCTCTCTCTCTCCTTTTTTTTTTTTTTTTTTTTTTTTTTTTTTTTTTTTTTTTTTAGAAATTATGGAAGACCGATGACAAAACTATTTGAATGTTTTACTTCTGATACTAGTAGTCCTTTTTCTTAACATGTTTATTTTCTCTATTTTTCACTAGCCACAAGCATGGAAAATATCAAAAATGCTTCTAATCTTATCATGTGGATGGGCATTTATAGAAAGGAATTTTTCTGTTTATAAAAAATTGAAAACTCTCAATTTAAAAGATTCATCTTATGTCTCAATGCCTCATACACAGGGCAATTTCCCAACTGATGCAGTTTCTGTGGATACTAAATTCTGCTCCCAGTACCTGTCCTAAATTCTAAAGTTTTCCCATTTTAGATTTTGTTGCTCTGTTTGTCGCTAAATTCCAAAAATTTGGCCCTTACCATATATCATTTCATATTTATTCTGAATGTTAATATTACTAGCTTTATCTGTATTTTTTGACTGCATTTAATTTTTAGAATAACAGAAATCTTTAATTGAATCCAAAAATTCTAAAATGAAACGAAACTGAATACATAAAGATAAAGAAAATTATTTTTCTAAGTTATGTACACTTATTATGTAAATTAACCATTTTTTAAAATTAATTTCTGCCTTTATTGTAACTTCCCCTTTTTGTTTCCTAAACAGAATACAAATCAGTTATTTTTTTAAACTGAGTTTTTTGAATTGTAAGACAGTATGTGTATTTCTGGCTTCCGCTTGCATTTTGCATTAGTT